GCCAAAGAAAAAGTGAAGTGGGCTGGCAGACCTGAAATCTCCTGCCATCCTCACAGGGGAACACAACGAAAGATTCTGTGGTCAAATAAATATTGTTCCCTTTGCCCCTGTCTCCTTGGCTTTGCTCTTCCAGGCCCTTCTCCCCCTCCTCCTAACAGGACAAGTTGGGGAATTGGAGGCTGCAGAGGAGATGGCTTCATCTGGCCCCAGTGGGCATTTAGCTCACATTAGAGACTCTGGGCGTAACACAAATGGTATTTTATTCATGAGCCCAGGGTGGGCCGTGTCACAGCGGTGGGGCCTCCGCAGCGCCTCAGGGAGCATCACTCAGATGTGTGCGGAAGCTGAGGCTGCAGCCTGCCATCTTCTCTGCATAGTGGGCGTCAAAGCGCTCGTTCTGGGCCACAGTGAAGGTGGTCTTCCAGTCCCCCGAGATACCTGAGCACAGAGGACAGAGGGGAGGGTGGCTGCATGTCCTGGCCACAGAGGCGGCCCCAGGGGGCTCAGGGCCAGCTCTTGGCTCCGCATCCACGCTTTCCTCCCCACGATGCCAGCCTGCGCAGCGCTCACCTTTCCGCATGAAGGCGGAAACGCTGTGATCCATGACGTCAGGGGGTAGGGTGGTGTAGTTAACCATGGGGTTCTTCTTCATCTCCTTGAAAGACGTCTGCTGGGTGATGAGATCCACAGTCTCCTCTGGCAGGGAGCGCCCCACAAACTCCAGGATCTTCTTAATTTCTCTTTTAGGGTTCTGGAGCAGCAGAGGGGCTCTTAGTGGAGGTTGGGATTGCTCATTGAGCAAACAAAAGGGGGCCCTACCCCATGGGGCATCGGGCGGCTTCCGCTTCCAGCCCTCTCAGCCCCAGCTCCTTGGGCCTTCCTTCCCAGGGGCACATTAACTGTCCCTGCCCTGTGACCCTGTAGTAAGCTCTGCTTGGGTCCTGATGGGTGAGGGCAGGAACAGCCCTCAGAACTGTGGCCCCAGGGAGAGCAGCCACAGAAGATGGCCTGTGAATGGCTGGGTGTGGCTCAGGTCTGAGATAAGAGCTATATGGTGTTGCTGCCCCGTGACACTGCAGCCCCTGCAGCCCCCCAGTCTCCTGGGCAGGAAGGCGGGCTGGAGGGGCCCAGGGACTGACGTGGGGCCGCCCTAGGGAAGGTGGCTGAGAGGGCCTTGGCAGGTGTCTGTGAGCTTCCTGCCTCTCTGTGGAGAGAAGTGGCAGCAGGTGACCTCACCTCTTTCATGTCCTCGTAGAAGAGGTAGAGAACAGGGTGGGTGTGACTCAGCTCCCACCACTCCCGCACGTGCTGATACCAGGACCCGTAGGACACTGGGGAAAAGGGCATGGGCAGGGACACAGAGCTGGTGTTAGTTTTGCCTGGCTGCTGCTCAGCGCCACCCCACTCCTTTCTCCAGATTGAGGCCCACCTTCCCCAGCCATGAACTTCTCCAGGAAGCTGTCCCAGGATTCAGGGTCAGGGTGCACTTTGGCCATGCGGTAGAAGTGGTAATAGGAGACGGCCACATCCTTCGCGTTGCGGGCAACATAGACCACCTGGAGGGGCAGATGACCCCCCCCCCCACACACACACACACGCCCTCGAATCATTACCACACAGCCAGCCTGGCGCTGGATGCCCCACCCCTCACAGCAGCCCTGCAGGCAAAGTTCTCCCAGGTCTGGCCAGAGGGGAAACCAGCTCAGAGGCTGACTTGCTTGTGGTCCCCAGAACCAAATTTTATGCTTATCTGATCCCCTCATCGCCGCCATACCCAGATTTGGAACAAGGAGTACCCGACTGTCACCAGCCCCCTCCTCCACGGGCCTGGGGAGGCCTGCAGAGAAGACTGCCTTCCTCAGCTCTGCACCAAGGAGGCTCACTTTCAGTGACCTCTAATCACACGAGGCAGACAGCCTCCCCCCTTAAGATGAGACCTTCCGGCAGACAGCCTCCCCACTTAAGATGAGACCTTCCTGGGGGCGCCTGGGTGGCTTAGTCGGTTAAGCGTCCGACTTTCGCTTAGGTCATGATCTCGCGGTTTGTGGGTTCGAGCCCCGCGTCGGGCTCTGTGCTGACTGCCAGCTCAGAGCCTGGAGCCTGTTCTAGTCTGTGACTCCCTCTCTCTCTGACCCTCCCCTGCTCACGCTGTCTCTCTCTCTCTCTCCTCGAAATAAATAAAACATTTAAAAAAAAAAAAAGATGAGACCTTCCTGGGGCGCCTGGGTGGCTCAGTCGGTTAATTGACCAACTTCAGCGCAGGTCATGATCTCATGGTTCATGGGTTCGAGCCCCACGCCTTGCTGTGTGCTGACAGCCAGCTCAGAGGCTAGAGCCTGTCTTCGGATTCTGTGTCTCCCTCTCTCTCTGACCCTCCCCTGCTCACATTGTCTATCTCTCTCAAAAATAAATAAAAAACATTAAAAAAAAAAAAAAAAAGATGAGACCTTCCTCTCAGATAGGGCTAAGCTGGGATGGCTTCCTCTGCCACTCACCTTGACTTTCTGATCTAGCAGGGTCTGGGGGAGCAGGGCCAGAGGCAAGTGTGTCTTGATGATTCGCGGGGCCGGTGTATCTTTCAGAACCTCCAGACCTGTGCCATGGGCGGGGAGAGGTCTGCTGAGATAGAGCCCAGTCCTGCCTCCCTCTCTTCCTCTTGTCCCTAGAGCCCCACCACACACCTGTGGGAATCCCTGGAGCCTTGAACTCCAGGAAGGGAACTCGGATAAAGACAGGGGCCCTGCGACACTTCTCCACATCGCCACCTTGGTAGATCATGTCCAGGATCTCGCTTGCCCAGGTGGTGCCTGGAGATCAGGGAAAGAGGAGGTGAACAGGGCTGAGGGCAGGCCCCTGCTGGCCCAGCAGGGAACTGTGGCTCAGGAGAGGGGTGGGTGGCCCTCATCACCTACCAGATTTGGGATAGGTGCTGATAAGCAGGTCATCAGGCTGGGCTTGGAAGGCCTCCAGTGGCCCCAGTGCCTCGGCAAAGTACTTGATGAGAGGGATCCCCTTCACATACTGCAGTGGTGGGCGCGAGGTGTCCTGGACCAGCTCCATGCTGCTGCGTCAGCGGCCGGAGTGCACCCTACTCCCCTTAACATCACAACAGGCCATCTACTGAATCCTTGCTTTAAGATAAGGAAACTGAAGGCTGAGTGACTTACCTCCCCCCCCCCAACCCAACACACTTACAAAGCTAGCGAGTGGTGGGAGCTGGGATTCCAAACCAGACGTGACACTCACGAGGTGGGTCACAAAGCTACCTGTGCCTTCACCTGCAGAGCTTTAAAACTCCCAGTGCTCGGGGCCATACCCCAAACCAGTTAAATCACTCTCTGGGGGCCAATCCCAGTGTTTTGGAAACTCTCCAGATTCGTGTGCACTTGAGAAAACTACTTTAGTGCCTGCCTGTCTTAACTCCCTGTTTTCTTTTTCATGCCGCTTCCTGCTTCAGCTCCTGGCCTGCCGCACTGGCCTCCTCTCCCTGTCATCCCCTTGAGCTCCCTGGGCCCCTCACATGTGAAAACATCGCAAAAGCCAGTCTGTGATCCCACTTGCCCAACCACACTCCATCTTGGCTCGGAGATAAACACAGCCAACTGAGCTTGTTTTAGGGGTTAGAGTCTGGGATGTGGATGAGGAGTCCGCGGGAGAGGGAGGGGGTTTCAGACCCGGTAGCAGTTGGCAGATTGAGATGGGCTCTCCGGAGGGAGAGGGCAAGGATGCCATCAGAGGCGGCAGCGGAGAGAGAGGAGCTGGCATCACAGGGTGAGGGAGGTCTGGCCCCACCCAGCCCACCCCAGCACTCACCAGAGCTCTCCGTCTCTTGGCCTTGTGACTCCTTGTGCTGTGGTTTACTGGGTGCAGTGTGGGGAGTGCAGAAATGCTTTCTGAGCTGAAGGGTTTCTAAGTCCAAAGTGGGAGGGATCTGGAGCCAGCACTGGGATCTGGCTGTCTTCCAGGAAGGAAAGGGTGGAGTTTAGAGTGGGAGGGCCCCCTGTGCTCCCCTACTTAGCACCTCAGTCAGCGCCAAGCTTAGACTGACCTGAAAATCCAAGATCTGGGCTTAGCATGTAGAAAAGAGAAGAGTGAATCTAGACAAAAGTGCCCAGTAAGTTTTCACTTTTGTTTTTTGGGGGCTTTTGAGCTGTAATCCTGGCACCTGACTTGCCTTCCAGACTCCACCCCTGCAGGGCGGGCCAACCGACAGCTCTTTCTAATGGACCCAGCCAGCTGAGGGGGCAGAGTGGAGAGGGAATACAGGACGCTCTGGTGAGCAGGGTCACTCACCTCCCTAGCTGGCTCCAGGCCAGTCTTGAAGGTGCCAAAGGTTCAGGTGGGGGGTGGCCCAGAGGGCCCCCACAGCCCAGGCATTCTAAAAACTGCTACTCTGACCTCTGACCGCAAGGCCAGTACAGAGCAGTGTAGGTAGGCAGGGTGACAGTCTAGAGTAGAACAGAGCCCGGCAGGCTCTTCCTGAGGCAGCAGAGAGCTGGAATGCCGAGTCTAGTAACTCTGGGGCTCGGGAACAGGCCCGCCGTTCCCAAGGGGCTTCCTGGAGCTCCACTCATGGTTGATGAAAGAACCATGGCCCCCGGAAGGTGCTTTTCTCTCACTGGATTTGAAGGGGCTCCGCAGACAGAGACAAGGAGTTGGGGCTTCGAGAGAGCCACAGGCTCCCATGGGAGTAGAGTATCTCTCCCCCCCGCCCCGCCCCCTGCCTCACTCTTGGCCTCTGTCCTTCCTATTTGTATTAAAGTCCAGAGTCAAGCTGGGCACTGGATTTGGATGGGCTCTGAGTCAAGAGTGTGAGTCTCCCAAGCAAAGAACGGTGTCAGAAGCTTGCTGAGGACAGCTGAGGCACACAGCCTCCAGGAAGAGGAGAGGCTCGCCCGCACAGGCCAGCGGCCTCTCCCCACTACTACTCTTCTCCTCAGGCCCCAGTGACTGGCAGGGCCTCTGCCCTCTAGCTCCAGCCCCCAGCAAACACCAGGAAGTTCCCTTAACTCAGACTCTTTATTGCGCTCAAGTAAAAACTGCCCGGACCCACAGGAGTGGCACAAACACGCAGTGGGTGGAGGGTTGGGGGCGCTGAGGATCAGGTCTCCAGCATGTCTGTCCAGTGTTCCTGTGGAAACAAGAGAAGCGGTCAAAGGCAGCCTGGGGAACGGGACGGAGCAGGGAGGCTGGGGCCAAAGCCACCTCTCACCTCTTCTAATTCCAGGTCCTCTCCTTCCTCTTCGGTGCCCATCTGGCACAGCCAGATCAGGTCTCCCCACAGCAGCGAGTTCTTACAGCTACCAAGGGGTGCAGTTGGTAGGAGACACAGTCAGGATCACGGGCCTCCTCCAGGCTAGGCCCTGGGTGCCAAGGTAAGGACTCGGCTGCCCTGGGCCTGGGCTTGGACAACTGGCACCATCATCCTAGAGCTAGACCCGGCTGGGGCAGGGGTGCCAGACTCACCCAGGGCACTGGCCCTCTAGGGGCAGAAGCTGCCCCGGCTCCTTCTCCAGGAACTCCTCTGCGAGGCAGATCACGTGGGCCCTGAGGCGGCAGCCAGGGTGGGGGCAGCACAGCGGGCCTTCTTCATCCTGTGGAGGCAGTGGCAGGTAAGAGAGAAACCCAGGCAGCATGATGTAGCTAAAGCTCAGAATTTCTATGGACCAGACACTGCTCCGGGCACTTTACGTTAAACAATCCTGTGAGGGGGCGCCTGGGTGGCTTAGTCGGTTAAGCGTCCGACTTTCGCTTAGGTCATGATCTCACGGTTCATGGGTTCGAGCCCCGTGTCGGGCTCTGTGCTGACTGCCAGCTCAGAGCCTGGAGCCTGTTTCAGTCTGTGACTCCCTCTCTCTCTGACCCTCCCCTGCTCACGCTGTCTCTCTCTCTCTCTCTCCTAGAAATAAATTTAAAAAAAAAAAAACAAAAAAAATTTAAAGATTAAAAAAAAAACAATCCTGTGAGGCACATACTACCGCTGTTTGCGTTTTGTAGATGAAATGGGAAGCACGGAGAGGGTACAGTACTTGCCCACAGAGCCCAAGCTAATCCTCTGAGCATTAGCAGGGATTATATAAACAGCATGGCCCCTGCAGCCACACCTACAGTTCTTCCAGCTAAGCGATCTCTGACAGGTCACTTAATCTCTGAATGGCAAGTACTCAATTTACATTTCCTGAGGCCTCCAAAGAAGTCAGGCCCATCATCTAAATTAATTTGTTACGATGTATTGGCTGCCTGCCGTTTTCCAGACCCTTTTCTACAGCAGTGAACAAGGACTGTCCTGGGGGGGGGGGGGGGCCGAGGGGATAAACTGACAAAATACCTAGCCTGTTAATGTGTTTGAGCTGGGGGGGGGGGGCAAGAAAGTGTACATGAAAGAACTGCAGTTTTAGATGCAGAGCCAAGGAAGACCTCATGGGAGAAGGAGAAGGTGGCACTTTATAAAGACCGAAAGTCTAGGGAAGAACCTTACAAAGGGGAAAGGCAAAGGCCCTAAGCAGGATGGTACTGGTTTCGAGGAATGGCAGCAAGTGGTATCATCCCCATTTTAGTAAGGAGGGCCAAAGGTGGCAGTGGGCTGCCCGGTCCTTCAATAAACAGCTGGATCCCAAGTCGTCTGAACCCCGAAGACCAGGTGGAGCCGCTCACCTGGAAGGAGCGCGTGCACAGGGCGCAGCAGGCCTCGGCCTCTTGGTCAGGCTCGGACTCCAGGTCAGCTAAGGGTCCGGCGCGGCGCTTTGGGGCCGGGGCGCGGGGCGGCGGAGGCCCGAAGGCCAACGGCATGTGCGGCGGCGGCGGCGGGCTGAGCTCCTGTCGGAAGTCGGCGCGCAGCCAGCGGACGGTGAGCGGGAGGCGCGCCCAGGGCGGCACGCGCAGCATGTGCGCCAGCACGCGCAGGTGGAAAGCGAAGGCCGCCTCGCTGCGCAGGCGCGGGCCCACGTGTCCCAGGCGGCGTGAGGCTTTCGGGTGCTGCCAGGCCCACTCGAACTGCGGGCGGGGAGTAGGGACTTCAGGGAGGCCCCAGAAAGGGGGCCGCCAGGGGAAGGCCCGAAGCCCCAGCCCGTCTTCCCACCGTCCCCGTCTCCTTTCTTACCCGAAGGGCGGCCACGGCGGAAGGGAAGCCGTGCACGATAAGCACCATCTCCCTGGGGAAGAGAACAAGGACGCGGCCTGTGAGCCCCCTCCCCTGCCACTCGCCTCACCCCGCATCAAGCCGAATCCCCTCGCCGTGGTTCACCCCCAGTCCTACCCGAGAGTGCCTAGTCCGCGAGGCCCCGCCCCCTTCGTGAAGGTGCGTCCCCTCACGCCTGCCAACCTCAGGCCCAGCCTGCAGCACAGGTAATTAACTGCCCTCCTCACTTCCTCTCCCTTGCAGGCTCTCTTTTACAACCCCAGCCTTGTTCATCAGCCTGCTGTCACCGGAACAAGCCTATATCCTCAGTCCCCTTCTCACTCATCCCCTGCTTTTTGGTCCCACAGCCGAGTTTCACAAGGCTCCGCCTCCCCACCGTGGTCCTCCTCTGCGGTAGGCCCACCCGCGTCACCAGGACCTCACACTCCAGCCCTGCTCTCAGCCACCATACCGGCTCCGCCTACTGTCACTGGCCTGGCTCCGCCCCCCTCGGCTGGCCTCTCCTCCTCCAAGCCTGGCTTCTCCCTAGAAGCCCTACTCCAGACAGCAATCCGCCCGCTCCCTCTTACCAGGGCCCGCGCCCGCTGGTCCGCCAGGCCCCTCCTTTCTTGCGGCCCCCATTGTGCTGCTGGACCCTACGAGTAGGGTTGACGGTGAACCCCACATAGACGCGACCCCTGTGCCGAGGGTTCAGGCAGTAGAGCAGGTAGACGCCGAAGAAGCGCCCGGGCCTCGCCGCGCCCGCCTCGGGGCCCATCGGGACTTGTGGGTTGATTGCTGTGGCCTATGATCTTAGGGAGGGATGAGTTGCCAGGGCCGCAAGATGCTTGTCTCGGAAAAGGCGTTTGGAGGCGATCCTGAGATACCCTAGAAGCCACAGCAATGCAGGTTCGCGCACACTCTCCTGGCTGGAGCTAGGGTGTCCAAACCGGCCCACGGAACCCAGGCTGCGGCAGGCGGCGGGCACCTATTAGCGCCCGATTCCGTCCTTGGACTGACTCTGATTGGCTGGTTGGTGGTAAGCGCGGAAATCTAGGACTGTTGGAAAGCTGGGCCGGCTTGAAGGCGGAAGTGCCGGGTTTACGGAAGCTTTAGTAAGGGCGGAAGTCGAGGCCTCGGCGGAAGTGGCGTCAGGAAGGGCGGAAGCAGTGTGGCCGGGGTGGGAGGCGGGGTTCCATCCCCGCTGGGCTGCCGCCCCTGCCGGGCTGCAGCAATGGAACTCAGCGCCGAATACCTCCGGGAGAAGCTGCAGCGAGACCTGGAGGCAGAGCACGTGGTGAGTTGAGCGATCTAGATTCGCCCAACGAGGGGAAAAGTGCTCCTGAGGGGTGGGTTTCACACTCCACACCATTCTGCACCGTAGGAAGTCGAGGACACGACTCCCAACCGTTGCGCGTCCAGCTTTCGAGTTCTGGTGGTGTCGGCCAAGTTCGAGGGGAAGCCGCTGCTTCAGAGACACCGGTGAGGCCCCGGGAACACCTCGCTCAGCGCGATGCCAGCGCCGGGACCACAACCCTGGCCACTTCCCTACTCCTAACTCCTTAAGTTACCACCAGTCTGGCCCCGCACGGTGAACCACTGCCCCAGGGATCCCGCCTTCGTGGCCTCTGTATTAAGACTTAGGCCCTCCTCCTCTTTGGTCCCCAGATCACCCTGCCTTCTGAGATCGCGACTCAGGCCTCGGCCTACCATTTCCTAACCCCATCTCTCCCCCAGGCTGGTGAACAAGTGCCTAGCAGAAGAGCTTCTGCACATCCATGCCTTTGAGCAGAAAACTCTGACCCCAGAGCAGTGGGCCCGGGAGCAGCAGAAATAAGAAACCAAGGCCTGCACAGCCATTAAATTATGAATCAGGGCCAGCTTCTGTGTCAATGTGTTGTGTGTGGGAGGGTGGGAAGGGTGCTGAGCTTGTCTAGAGCCCGGTTTCTCCCCGCCCCACCATGCTCCATTGTCTTAGTTTGGACAAGTCTTTCACACGTAGGCCTCTGTGCCCCCACTTATAAAATAAAAGTTCTGTCCTTAAAATCCCTTCCACGGCAGGCCACACAATCCTCTGTAACTTGCTAGATCCCTAGGAATACTGCTCTTATGCATTGGCCATTACTGGGGCCTCCTGCCCTCTGCCAGTTTTCAGGACGGCTCAGATGAAAAGGTCCCCAGGGTTTCAGGACACTGGCCAACTTAACAAACCTCCCCCACTCCTCAGCATCACCCCAATGTCAGAGGCATAATAGAGGACTTCACACCTCCCTGCAGGTTACCCGGCGCTTCATAGGCTTGGTGGATGCTATACAGCAGCAGCGAGTCCCCAGCACCTGGAATGCTGACTGGAGCAAGTCCAGTGACCCCTTTAGCTCAGGGCTTGCTGCAGCCACAACTGCTCCTGGAGGAACCATGAGGGTTTCAGGAATGGAGCTGTGGGCAGGAGCTGGGATAGGATTACAGGCAAATAAAGCCATCTGAGCCATCAAATTGGAGCACATCATGCCCCTAGTATCAATCTTAAACACAGGTGCCAGGGTTGGTAAGGCCTTGCACAGATGGGGTCCCCAGGACCCAGGTGCATAGCAGGTAGCCCACAGGGGGCCAGGGTTCTTCAGGAGTGAAGATTGTGGTTTTCAACCCTCCGGTCTCTCTATTCCCCTGTGTTTTCAGGGCCAAGTTCTTGGCCCCTAAATAACTTCCATCTTCCCTCCTACCTCCCTCTGGGAATGGGCTGGTAAAGTTGTAAGTCCTGGTGATGACGTTACGTTAACCCTTCTGGGTTTCTGCAATCCTTTCCCGAACTTTTCTTGGCTCCCTAGAACTTTTCCTTGGCCAGGAGGTGAACTAGTGACTGAGTATGCTCAAGCCTACTTTGCCAGCAGGGTGCATCATCCCCATTGTGCAAGAGAGGCTCAGAGAAGGACTGTCACTTTCAGAGGCCCGGGTTTCAGATTTTCTGCTTCTCTCTTTATCATCACACCCCTGCTGGGATCCACCCACTGCATTCACGGAGCTGTGATGCTAACCCTCCCCATTTTAGAGAGCAGCTGAAGCCTTGCCCAAGGCCACTTTGCAAGAAGTGACTTGCCCAGTGTCACGTGGCTTGCAAAGAGATTGTGACCCAAATGGGTGGACAGGGATGTGTGATTGGCTGCCTCTCTGCCCACGTGGCTGAAGAAGGGTCAGGGACTGTGGATGAGGATCTCGGCCCTTGCTGGGCTCTCTGTGTGCTCTGAAGAAATCTCTGCTGTGGCCAGGACACCCATCCTTAATAACTGTCCTCCTAGCTTGAGGGCACCCACTAAGGTGGGCATCAGAAACCCACTTCCAATCCCCTGCTTGACAGGACCTTTTCTGTCTGGGAGGGTCAGCTGGGAACCGGAAAAAAGGGTTGAGAGGCAGCAGCACCACAGGGAAAGCTGGGGACGAGAAGGGACAACAGCTCGTGACCCCAGATCGGACTTCGGCAAGCCCCTCTCCTGCTCCGTGCCTCAGTTTCCTCGCCTGTAAGCCAGGGTTGGGTTCTAAGCTTTTTCCTCACAAAAGTTCCCCCGATTTTGTTCCCTTGAGCTTGCAGTTTGAAAGACAGCAGGTCAGTGCTGTGTAAGTGTCATGTCAATTTCAGTTCCCCATGAGCAGCACTGCAGCACTGACAGTACAGTCGCAATGCAAGCTGTTGTTGCAGTTGACTAGGAAAGACAAATCCTGAGTAACCATGGCATCCTGAGGTCTTGAGCGCCTCAGACCCTGCCAGCCCTGAGAAGGAGCTGGAAAAGAGTAGGCTCTCAGCCCATGTCAGCATGGGGGCCTCCCACCCACCAAGGCCTGTTCCTGTGGTCTAGGGTATTTGGAGGCATCCCCCAGCTCCTGCTATGGGCCAATCTCATCAAGGTAACTGAGAGGAAAGCTCAAGGGCAGGTCATTTCAGCAGAGCCAGCATTCAGATAACCCTGAGAGTCTGAGAGGTACCAGAAAAATAAAGCCATTTTATTATTATTTTGTATCTGCCACCGTGGCCTGAGGAGAAGGGTGTGGATGGAAGGGACGGAGGTGACGCCGTGGCCCCAGCAGAGGCCCTCAGGTCCTCTACTTGGCCTGGACTGTCTCCTCCAGCCTCTCCAAGCGCTTCTGTAGCTCCTGCACTGTGGCCTGAAGCTTCTTTATCTCCTCCTCCAGCCGCGGTATGGCGTCCTGGGAAATCCATCGTTGTGTGAGTCCCAGCTCCGCCCGGGGCTTCCCTTACCCTGGCCTCCCCCAACCCGCCTACCACGAACCCCAGGGCTTGGCCCTTCTGTCTCTCAGCCAGTTGCTGCCCAGATACTTCCAGGCCAGTATGCCTGAAACTTGTTTTCTGAGGCTTCAGGATTACCCCCTTCCAGCCCCCAAAGGATCCCCAACGCCCTGAGTGTGAGGTGGCCCCAACAACAGCCACCTTCCACGGGGACAATGACCACATCAGTAGCAGCCCCTACTATGTAGCAGCCCTGTCGGTCTCGTCCTGACTCCCCGGTTCCCATCCACTTCTCACCGAGCCGGGGGTGCCACTAGCCTCTGGCGCTGTCTTTCTGCGCCCGGTGTCCAGGCCCCGGTTGACCCTCAGCTCGCGGCTCTTCGGGGGCACGTAGCCGTCCTTGAGGGAAATGAGGAGGGGCCCGGCATCCCGGCCCCCCAGCCACTCCTCAGCCGTGAGGGCAGCGTCAGGCCCCGCGGTGGGGGGGTAAAGGTCCTCCTGGAACAGGTCCGACTGTGGGCAAGACCAAGGCTGGGTAAGAGAATGCTCGGGCCACACCACCACCCTGCAAGTGTGCGAGCTCAGTGCCCGGCCCGCAGCCCAGGAAGGGACATGGGAGCATCACCTTTCTAGGCACTGTCATGGCAATGGGCTCACACCTCCGCTCGTGCAGCTTGTAGAACCTGCAGAAATAAGAAGGTGAGTGATGCTGTGGCATGGGGGCTGGAAGCAAAGGTCAGCATGGGGTCAGCAAGGCCCAGGGCAGGGGCAGGGATCAGTCACCTGGCAATCTCACACTTGTTCACCTCCAGGCCGCGCTTGGGCATGTAGCCCATGCCCCGCTGGGACTCCTTGGAACTGAACATGGAGAGATAGTGCAGATATGGGGCCTCAGAAGTGATCTCGAAGTACCGGATGGAACTGTCACCCTGCAGGTGGCGCATGCAAAACCCTGGGATCAGCAAAATCGCTCCTGCCTGGTCCTCTCCAAGCCCTCCGACCCCCCGCCTCCCCCCGCAAGCCACTGCCCAACTGGGACACCTTGCCACAGAGGTAGACTATGTTCGTGTCGGGGTCAAAGAAGGGCAGCAGGACGCCACTGCTCGTGTCCAGCTCCTGCAGGGACAGCGGCTCCTCCAGGTGCTTCTGTAGAGATGGGTGAGACCGGGAACAATGAGCTGGGCCAACTCAGGCCGGTGAGGACCACTGGGCCGGGACTCGGGGAAGGCCCTCACAGAACAACCAGCGGAAACCCCCATCTCGCAGAGGGTAAACTGAGGCCCATGGTGATGTATGATCAGGCAAGTGACAGGGCGGGGACTAAGCCTCCGGTCCTGCCCGGTTGCCGTCCCCACCCGGCACTCACCGTGTCCCACAGCGCCACCTGCCGCTCACTCATGCGACTGAAGCCTGTGGTCAGGATTTTGCCATCAGATACAAACACTGCGCGCACAGGCCGGGTCCCCTCATGGGGACGGTCCTTCTCCTGGAAGGGAAGGGAGGTAGCCAGTCAGTCCCCACACACACATCCTAATGGCCAGACTCCAGCTGAGGGCAAGAGAGGGCAGCATCCCCGGACCTGGCTGGTGGTGGGTACGAGAGTAAATGTCCTAGGGTTGAGGGGCATGATACATGGCAACTCACAGCTACAAGAGTGCCTTTGCGGGGCTCAATGATGCGCACGCGCTTGTCCCGGCAGGAAGTGCAAATGAGCGCGCCGTCTCGGCTCCAGTCCACGCTGTAGATTGTATCCGGGTGCACGTCCGAGCCGAGCGTCAGCACAGCCGCCCCAGTGCCCACGTCCCACACCAAGATCACGTTGTCGCACCCTGGGTGATAGCCCCGTTGTGAGAAGCCATGCATCTTGCTGTCATGTGACCAGCCCGCCCCCTCCTCGCCCTCCAGGCACCTGCACTGAGCAGCACGTTCTGGGCTGTGGGGTGCCAGGCCACGATGCCCACGCGCTTGGTGTGGCCCTCCAGGGTGACGACGGGCTCCCTCAGGGGCAGTGTCAGGCCCCCATCGGGGATCTCCCACACCTGCAGAGAGGGGGCGAGTGAGACTTAGGGGCTCCAAATATCAGATCCAGTACTGGAGCTCTGCCGGCCTCCATGGCCCCCCACCACTCACCATGACTGTGCAATCCTCAGAGCCACTGGCAATGACATTATCGTTGTGTGGGCACCAGGCGATGTCCAGCACCGGGGCCGTGTGGCCACAGACTGTGGGCGCATTCTTGTCCACACGTCCAGTCTAGAGGGCACAGCAGGGCTTCTGAGGGAGGTGTTTTTGCTCTCCAAGCCCGATCCAACCTCCCCCCAGACCCTTTCAGAGAGGCACAGAGAGGAAGGCAGTGGGGTCCCTGTCTGGGCAGCTCAGAGGGCTGGAAGTAGTGCAGGAAGGGGGTGTCACACTGGGCCCTGGTCCTGCCTTACTGTCAGACCCTGGCCAAGGTCCTGACATCTCTACCGCAGTTTCTCACCTATGCCCTGGGGCTGGCTTCCAGGGGATGACAGGCCAAGACCTTGGGGAGGGGAGGGTGCACTTAGATTAGGGTTCCGCAAGGAAGCCTGGGAATGGGGATGGGTCCTTCTGAAAGGATAGGGACCAGAAAAGCCTGTCATAATTGGCCCCAGGCAGGAG